TCCCCACCGTGCCCGACCACAGGGGCCCGTGCCCGCCCAGCCCAAGCACCCTGTGGCACTAAGTGGGGCCATGGCGTTCCCCACTGCAGGGGACACCCCCAGCGTGCCTACCCCAGTGCCCACAGCTGCTGCAAACCCCTGTGACCCTGCCGGGCATCACAGGGAAGAGGGCAGAGAACGGAGTTGGGGGGGGGGCCCAGCCCCATTCACCCCCACATCAGCAGGTGTGTTTAGGGGGGGTCCCCCAACACCATAACTATCTTGGCCATAACTTAAACCTCATTTTTAAGCTCCCTGGCTGTGTTGGTGCCGTGCTGAGGAGCTGACCCTCCCCACCAATGCCCCACACCCCCAGGGGAAGCTGGGGATGGGTAGAGGGGGTGGCCCCAGCCCCTCTCTGTGCCATAGTCTGCAACATGTCCCCTTCGAGTACCCGCTGCTCCCTTTGCCTCAGGTTTTGCCTTCCCCCTGCCCCGTCCCCCTCTAATTAGATCAAGGAGCAGCAGGGCAGGAGCCAGGAAGGGGCCTCAATAGGTTATTGTTGCCCTAAATTGTAACCAGCACCGGCAGGGTTGGGTTACTGGCTCCGACTGGGGTCAGCGACCAGACCCCGGTGCCGCGCGCCCGGTGGCGGCGGCACTGCCCGGGGACGGTGCTGTCACCGTCCCCACACCGGGCCAGCCAGAACAGCAGCTCCTTTGTGTTGCTGTACCTTTCAGTGCCCCCAAAAGTGTCCCCAGGGAGGTGCCCACCGTGGCTGGCTCAGAGCTGTGGCTGGGTCGATCAGGCTGAGGTGACCAGGTTGGCAAAGGTCCCTAAGAGCCATGTCCCCGTGGCATGTGCCAGTGCTGGGCACATCTCCATGGGGCAGGATGGTGGTGGGGGCTGAGAGATGGGGATGGCCAGATCCCCACCACCCTTTATGGTGCAAAGTCCACCAGAGGTGGGAGGTGCTGGAGCTGGGATCTGCCTGCAGCAAGGAGCCAGCACAGCATGATGTTTGCAGAGGGATTTGGGGCTGTTTGGATGGAGCAGGATATGGAGGGGCCTGGGCAGTTCCCAGGGGAAGCTGCCCAGGGATGCTGAGTCCCCACCCACTGCCTCTGCCCCAGCCAAAGCCCAGGGCTGAGCCAGCTCCAGCCCCTGAGTGCACCAAAGCATGTGTCCCCCTGAGACACAGGTTCCACCATCACCTTGACACCTGTCCCCAGTAACTGGCTCTAAGGAGAACTTGATGGCCTGTCCTGCCTGGCTCCAGTGTCCTGTCCCCAGGAATTTCACAGCCCTTTTGGGTCATGCTGGATGTTTTGGGGGTCTCTGACAACACCCATTGCAGTGGGCAGGTCTCAGTGGCAGAGCCCTGGCCAGGAGAGGTCCATCCCTGTCCCCACCCTGTCTCCATCCCTGTCTCCCCGCAGACCCGTTGCCATCAGTGGGGAAGGGGCTTTTCCTGCTGCTCCTGCTTGGCTGCCAACCTCAGCCACAAGGCTGGGAGGAGAGGCCACCCCATCAGGTACCAACTCAGTGAGACCCATCCCCTGGAGAAGGGGCGAGATCCTCAGGGTGGCCACATGAAGGGGTTAATGATGAGGTGGCTGCCTGGCCACGTAATTACACCGTGTAAAAATAACCCTGTGCCGGGCACGAGGCGGCTCGGGCGAGAAGGCAGAGGGTGGTGGCAGTGCCCAAATCACTCCCAGATGGGCCATGGCCTCGGCCCACCAGCCTCCCTAGCTTTCCAGGAAGCCAGCAAGATTCCTGCCTCTCCACAAGGCTCTTCCCAGCAGCCCAGGTTTTGGGGGATTTCTGCCTCTCCACAAGGCTCTTCCCAGCAGCCCAGTGCGTGGGGCTGCAGGACGGGCACACACCTGCCCTCGTGTCCCAAGGGAGCAGGGATGGGGACCCGTGGCACTGAGGCAGGGCATCTCCCTGGGGCTCTGCTCCAGCCATGGGGACCTGGGGGACCTGAAGGACCAGGATTTGGATTCCACAGGGCTGTGCTTGGAACCAGGAGTGTTTCTCTGGAGGCCAGAGACCTCCAGGCCTGCAGCCATCAAGGTGTGGGCAGGACTGGGCCAGCGCTGGGGCAGCAGGACTTGCCTGCTGTGGCTCCCCAGGGCTCTCAGTTCCTGGCCCCACTGGATCACATAGCCAGAGGGATTTTTTTGCTTTGGGTTAATTTCAGGGGGTTTTGCAATCCTTCCCTGGGGCTGATTCAGCTCGGAAGAATTAGCAGAACCGCACGATGTGCCGCTCAGAGCCACTCCTGGTGCGCGCCAGGACTGGCAGTGGCTGGGGGGGATTTTTTTTTGGCTTCAGGAAACTGCAGGGGCCCAGGGGCTGGAAAGGCACATTTTGGGCACTGCTGAGCTTCAGTGGAGCCACTTGGGTGCAGACATGGGTGCTGGGGGTGGATGTCTGAGCCCTGTGGGGTGCTGAGCCCTGCCCTGGCTGCAGCACCCCCCACACCCCCTGTGCTGAGGCTGGGCCCCCTCCCACCCCATCCCCACTCTCCACAGCTGGTTCCCAGCTCCTCTGAACAGCCTCAAAAACCTCAGCTCAGGGTTCCCTGGCTGCACTGCACCTGCCAAAACCAGGCCCCTGCCACACTGGAGCAGCCAGTATGGCATCTCCAGTGCAGACCTGCTCACTTTGAAGCTGCTCTAAGTCCCCCATGAGCGATGGGACCTGCCGAGGGGTTGTGAGGGTCCACAGCACCCACCTGGCGTGTGTGTGGGAGGGGGTCCCCTGCAAGCTACCAGCTAATTGCAAGTGTGGAAAATGTCTTTGTTAGGGAAAGGGCATGTTGTGGAGCCAAGCAGCAAGAGGGAAAACAGGCAGCTGGGAGGGAAGGGGCTGGAGGGACACAGGGAGGTCCCTGCTGCTGGTGAGGGGACACTGAGGGGCCGACCCTGCGCCCGGCTGGGCTCG